CTCCATACTCTTCTTTCTCTCATTTGCTGTCCTTTTTCTCTCTCCCTCGCTGCTGCTGCTGCTGCTGCTGCTGCTGCTGCTGCTGCTGCTGCTGCTTGTTGTTGTTGTTGTTCTTCTTCTTCCTCCCTCCCTCCCTCCCTCCCTCCCTCCCTTCTTTCCTTCTTTCCTCCTTTCTTCTTTCTTCCATTGCATCAGGAATCGAAGCCAGGGCCTTCACACCAAGGTATCTCCCCAACCCACGTTTATGTTTTAATTTTGACACAGAGTCTAAGTTACCCCGCTGGGCTCAAACTTCGATTCTCCTGCCTCAGCAGCCCAGAGTGCCGTAGTCGCAGGGCTGTGGGCTGACTCAGGCATCTCTGACTGGTCCAGTAAGACGTGAAGGGTGCTTCCCGGGTCCTTCCCTAAGCAGCCGGTGAACTTCTGTCCGTGGAGCTGTTTCCACGAAAGCGCTTCATGTCCTTGAGCCACAGAGATACTTAAGTTCTTCAGTGTTGCAGTCCGCGTTCCGCTGACATCGCCTCTCTAGTGTTGTGTGCAAGCTCCACCCTTCTGAGCTGGCCTGAGACTCCGGGTGGAGGGAAGGCTGTGGTCAGGCAGATGTGGAAACTCGGCGACTCCCTGTTTGTGTGACCAGGCTGAGTGAGGCCCGACACCGGCCCTTGTGAGGTGTCCCCTGTAAGCCATCTCCTCTCGGGCTCACGCTGTCCCTGCATCACTCTGCACCTCTGTCTCCTGTCAGTTGGGAGTGTCTGGAGCCCTCGTCTAGATGTCTAGATGAGGCCCGTCCCTCCCAGGACCTGGCGGCCGCAGAAGCTTTCTACGTGCTCTGCGGACTCCGCCCTGCTAGCTCCCTTCTGTCACTGGCTTCAGCCTGCTCCTTCCTCCTGGGTGTAGTTTTGGAGTTTTAAAAAGTGTTATCCCCATCACGTACCCCAGACCTTCCCGAGTCTGTCCCGCTGTCCCGTTCTGAAGCTGCTTCTGCGTGCTTGGGTCTCGGGGCAGCACCCCTGCTCCCTGGGCAGCGTCAGTCCTCGTGTCCACAGGCTGCGTGAGCAGTGACCTGCACGTGGGCTCAGGCCCGGACACTGCTGCTCCCGGCTCTGGTGCCTGCCAGCAGCTCTAGGTGGTGTGGCTGGCAGATGGCTGCCTTTGTGCCAAGTGTCACTCAGCCTGTCTTTGGCACCAGTGTGTAGAGGAGGGAGGGACCTCTCTTCTTTTTATGAGGGCATTAAAGAGAACCTCACCAAACTCTGCTTAGCTCCCAAGGGTCCTGCCTACAAATGCAGTCACACTGGGCGCTGGGGCTTCCGTGGGCAACTCTTGGATGACACCTTGGTGTGTGACAGGAGCCTCCAGGAAGCCTCCTCCGTGACCATTTCTGCTTGTCAGCTGCAGCTTAGTAATGGTGCCCGTGGCTGAGCCCTGACCCTTGAAGGCTCGGTGCCCAAGGGAGGTGCGGAGGGAAGGCCAGTGGCTGTGGGACGCATGCCCGGTGCTGACCTGGATCATCCGAGGACTTCTGGGGGGATGGGGATGCCAGCCTGGGTTCTTTCCATCCCGGGAGACGCTCCCCTCCTGTTAGTTGGGTGTGGTTTGTCATATGACCAGGCTGGCACGCGTCTGTGCTGTGGCACAGGACAGAGGAGGACTGTGGAGATGGCACACGCTGGCCTGGAGGTGGGCAGAGAGCATGCTGGGAAAGGCTGCTGAAGGCAGACCTCATCCCCCCTGTGGCACGCCCTCGGCCTGTGGGTTTCTGAAAACTTCCTCTAAGTCATGTGAGGATCTCTCTGGGGAAGGGCAGGGGCCCCTGCGGTTCCTCTTTCCTTCTGAGTCCCAGGGACTGCCCCTTGCATGCCCCTCAGGGCTTGGGATCTGGCCAGCAGGGATGGTGGGATAGGATCCTCGGCGGGTCTGTGACTGTGCCTCCGGTGGTGAATTTGGGGTGAGTCTGCACTGAGGGGTGGCTTTTGCATTCTGTCACCCATTTCTGATGTCACACAGCTGCAGGTTGTAGAAGGTCTGTTGTCCAAAAGAAACAGAATGTTATCACCTCCATAATTTTTACTTTCCTGGTCATCATGTAAAAACTTAAAAGGAAACAGATAACATTAATGTTAATCTTCTATTTAGCCTAGCGTAGATCAAATATTATATCATTGCACAGCCAACATGGAAAACCCTAATGAAGCTGGGCGTGGTGGCACTTGCCTACAATCCAGCACTCCGGGAGGCTGAAACAGGAAAGTCGCAGGTTTAAGCCCAGCCTGGGCAATGTAGCAAGCTCCTGTTGTAACAAATATGAAACCGAATTGGGATTTAGCTGGTGGCAAAGGACCTGGGCGCAATCCTCCCGTATGAAAGAAAGGAAGGAAGGAGGGAAGGAAGGAAAGAAGTCTAATGAAGTAGCTATTTAGCATTTCTTTTTTGTACCGAGTCCTTAAAATTAGGGGTGTTTCACGCAGTTTGGATCATCCCATTTCAAATGCTCAAGGGCCACGTGGGGCTGGTGGCAGCTCTAGAGGAGCAGTGGGCTCCACCTCCCGTCCACTCCCGACACCCCTGCTGAATAGGGGCTGTGCTCACAGGGCCTGGCTCCGAGGGCCGGATGTGGTCAGATCCCTGCGGGACCCCGGGAGGCGTGTGTGCTCTTGGCCACAGCTCCCCCTAGGGGAGAGGATGACACCCTTGGGCCGTGATGGCCAAGGCTGACAAGTTGCGCCGGGGCTCTGGGCAGGGGAGATGCTGGGACTTCTGTGTCCCCACCCTGGTCTCAGTAGAGAGCCAGGGCTTCTGAGAAAGGTTTCTTCTGAAGCTGGCTGTACCTGCTGCCATCTCGGGATGTGGCCGGAGGCTGAAGTATTTATCTACACCGTGGGCTCCTACACTGTGGAAATCGTCAGCTCCCCTGTGTGGTGCCGAATCGAGCACCCGTGACCCCATCTCACAGGAAGGGCTGCATAGGTGATAGCGGATTTCCACAGTGGAGAGGCAGACAGACTGTGTCTCCAGGCTTGGGTGCATCTTCTGGAGGTGTGACACGTGGGGAACCGTTGCCTGGGCCTCATGGGGTTCTTTGTCACGCAGGCCCAGCTAGAAGCTCAGAAAGCCACGCAGGACTTCCAGAGGGCCACCGAGGTGCTCCGCGCTGCCAAGGAGACCATCTCTCTGGCCGAGCAGAGGCTGCTGGAGGACGACAAGCGGCAGTTCGACTCAGCCTGGCAGGAGATGCTGAACCATGCCACGCAGAGGGTAGGCGGCGAAGCTGTGGCACCCACGGGGTGTCGGGTTTGTGTGCCTGTGCCTGCTGGGGTCCCAAGCATGGCAGACAGACCACTTCTCCCATGTGGTCTCTTGGCTGGGCTGGTGCTAAGCATATTCGGGTCATATTGGGTGACCGGGGAGGAGGAGCTCCTGGGCCTGGACAGTGGGCTTGGGCTTCCCTGAGGTGCAGGGCTGTTCTGCAGAGTCCATCTGAGGTTGGGTGAAGCCCTGGCTCTGCGCGTGGGGCCCTGGGCTGGCATGGGGGCCACGGCACATTACAGGGGACTCAAGGGGATGCTCAGGCCTGGCCTCCCAGGATGAGGCTGGGAGTCATGGAGACAGCATGGAGGGGCTTTGGAGGGAGTTTCATGGACGACTGTACTTTCAGAGTTCTGCGTGGTTATCCTTGGCCTGTTAATAACAAAATCCCATAAAGGGGGTGGCTTAGAAATAACAGAAATTGACTTCTCAAGGTTCTAGGGCTGGAGCCTAGTTCAAGATTGAGCCCCTCGCACATGGCTTCTGTGAGGACAAGTTTCCTGGTTCAGAGAGGGCCGGCTTTCTGTGTCCTCACTACAGAGGGTAAATAAGCTCTCTGGTTCTGTTAGGAGGACACTAATGTCACCCCTAGGACCTAATCTCTGCCCCAAGGCCCACCCCTCATTTTCTTTTGGTTTTTGTTGTTTTCTTGGAAACAGAGTCTTGTTATATATAGCCCAGGCTGGCCTCAAATTCATAATGATCTGTTAGTCTAAGCCTCCCAAATGGTGGCATTGCAGGTGTGCGCCCCCATGCCTGGCTCCCGAGGCCCACCTCTTAATACCGTGCCCCAGGAGATTGCATTTCAACATAGGGATGGGAGGGCAAGCATTTGGCCTTGAACAGGCAGGGACAGGTGCGTGGCCCAGTGGGACTTGGTTTTCGCTGTCCAACACTACCAGGTTTGCTTAGGGTCACACAAATGTTCCTGCGTCCAATTCCCCTCCCCCAGGCTTTTCCTGGGATGCCCAGCGCATGCCCTGGCATTCCTTGGCCCTAGTCTGGGTCTGTCGTTCCCTCTCAGGGGTAAGGCCGGGAGGCCAGGGCTGAAGCGCAGGCTTGGGACTGTGTGGAGCCTCCTGAGGGCTGGAATAGTGAAGTCCAGAGTTGGCCCGGCGGCTTCTCCCATTTATTTATTTATTTTATTTATTTTGCGGAACCAGGGGTTGAACTCAGGCCCTTGCGTTTGCCAGAGAAGCACTTATTCTACTCCCTTTTATTTTGCTTTATTTTCATTTTATTAGTACATATTTACAGTTCATGGTGAGTACATTTTTCATGAATTCGTTCATGTATGCATCTAGATTCTTTTTTCATCTTCTCTCCCTTGCTCCATCTCTTTTTTTATTTTTTGACTTTTTTTTTTTCTGGACAGGGTCTCAATATGTAGTTCAGGCTGGCCTTGAGCTCCTTTTACAGGCCAGACTGGCCCCAAATCTGTGCAATCCTCCTGCCCCAGCCTCAAGAATGCTGGGTTACAGGCATGCACCACCACTCACTGCTTCCCTCCATCTCTTTTTTTTTTTTCCAAAATTTTATTGATAAACAGCAGTGAGACAGTTTCAAATCGGAAGTACAGTTTCAACAAATAACACACTGCATATATTCTTCTTAGTGGTTTCCCTCCATCTCTTGATTTCCTTTCCGTTTATGAAGGTTCTGTCTTTTTTCTATTATTTATCCTTTATCTTTTCCTTTTTTAAAAAATGTATTTGGTATCCCAGCCCTGGGGAGGCTGAAACCTGGAGGATCACTACGAGTCCCAGCTGTGTAGTGAGACACTATACCTATACCAAATATTTATCCTTTAAAGATCCTTTAGTTTATTTCTCTTGTCGGTGTCACCTGCCGCTGCAGCTCAAGTCCTGGGGGATCTGATAATTAAGGACGGCCTTGAGCATCTTTAAATAGAAAGCCTGACACACAATGACATCAAGAGTCAGATTTGCCTTTCCACCGCATGTCGCAGAACGTCCGGCTCTGGCCCAGCCAGGCTTTGTCTGGCCTTGAGCCTGCTGCCCCCTAGTGGGCACAGCGAGCCAGGCGCAGGCTGGAAACAGTTTGACTGGATCAACTCGCGAAAAGCCAGAGAGATTAGAAAAATCTTAGAAATACATTAATCAAAGACTGAAAGATTTTTTAAAAAGAATGTACAGGGGGCTGGAGAGATGGCTCAGTGGTCTAAAGCACCTACTTGAAACAAGTTTGGCAAAGCACAGGGACCGCGGTTCGATCCCACAGCACCACATGCCAGCCAGCCCCGCCCCCTGGTGGGCTGAGCTGGCCACACACACACACACAATAAATAAAAATAAATAAATAATTAAAAAAAAAAAAAAAGAATGTACAGGTCTGCCTTTCCTTTTGCATGTTGCCACCCCGGCTGCACATCCCTATCAGCTTATAAAAGTAATTTCAGAAATCTCTTCATTTAAAAGGAACAAAACATGCTTTTCCATTTCTTTCTTTTTTTTCTTTTTTCTTTTTTTTTTTTTTTTTTTTTTTTTTTTTTTTTTTTTTTTTTTTTTTTTGCTTTAAAAATGTTTCATTAGTACATGTTTGCAATTTATGATTACATTCATTGTGTGGAGTGGGCCTTCTGCTTTTCTTAAACTCTTTTTAGGCTAGCACTAACACACTCTCAGGTGACCAAGCTGGTGGCAAACCTTTATCTCCTGGGCCCTCAGAGAATGTTCTCTGAACCCAGGTCTTCCCCTAGCCAGACGCTTGTGTTTGGCTTTGAAATAGCATCGGGTGACGTGGACCTCTGTCGGATTCCCTTGTCCTCACATGGGGATCACTTCCACGGTCGCCCTGCTGCCCCTCTTGGTGAAAGCTGCTTGGTGAAGCACTGCCCTGGAAAATGTCTCCTGGCAGGTGGCGCTGCTGGGTCCTCTGGGACTCCCAATTGTCCACAGGAAGAGCGCTTATAGCACCCCTCACACCTCCATGCGTCCTTCACCAGAGGTTACGTGTGTGTCCCTTCCTGTTTCCTTAGACTTCCTGTAGTGACGTCAGGGGGTCGCACCTGGAAGCGTGCCTGAGCCAGCACGCTGGGAAGTGTCAGAGGCCCCGTGTCCTCTCGGCTACGTGCGGTGCCACAGACAGGAGTGGTTCTCTGCTGGGTGCAGCCATGGCCGCAGTGGGAGCCTTCCTGGGGCACAGAGTTCAGGTGTCTGCTGCTTGGCCTTAATGGGAAGGGCTGGCTTTTTGTCTTCTGAGATCGGAGGGCTGGTAGCCTGGGAGGGAGAAGTTGGCTCTGTGTCGTCTACGGAAAGAGGCCATCTGGAGGAAGAGGGCTTGGAAGGAGGGAGGCGGTCCCTGCGGATGGCCCAGCAGCAGGCGGCTGCTGGGGAGCGAAGGACAGGACGAGGCTCGCTTCCCCCAGCCCAGTCCCGGAGCGGATGGCTGTAAGGCCAGGATGGCAGGACAGCTGCCCTGACACGGGGGTTCTGTGCCTTTCTTCTCCCTTCTGGCTCCGCCTGATGAGCGCAGTGAGAGTCCGAGCAGCGGGAAGGCACTGAGCGAGGCCTCTGGGAGGGGGCCTTGGGGACCCGAACTGTGCTCTGAGGGGCGGGGAGGAGGTAGAGGCCAGAGAGGCCCTGGAAGGCCAAGGAGCTGTGCTGTGTGGTGTCCACTCCTCGGCACGGGACCGGGCCTGTGGGGCAGGCACACTCAGTGCCCATCAGTGACCAGCATGGAAGGGCTTGGTATCTTTTCTTGAGCTGCCACTGGGGGCAGTGTTGAGCAGAGACCCCATGATGGGGCCTCAGCCTTAGCTGCTCCAGAACTCCTGGGAGTAGAAGAGGGGGCAGCCTGCCACTCTGAGTGACACATCTCTCTGTCCTGCTGGTCCAGGAGGGGCAGGGTGGAGGCCTGGGGCCTTCACAGCATCCTGAGCCCTGGCAACCTTTTGCAGGGCTCTGACGTGGGTGCTGTGGCCATCCTGTCCACCTGCCCACATAGCTCAGCCGCTTGGTTGTCCCAGGCCCAACCTTTCCTTCCCACTGCGCACTGGTGGGTAGTCAGTCGGGTCATTAGGAGCTAGCTGTGGGGCAGGAGTGTCTTGGCAGGTTTGGGGAACCCCAGGGATGTCTGTAGGCTGGGGAAGCACTTGGAAGCTAACAGAGAGCAGGGGAGTCGCCCCCAGGACTGGCCCGCCTTGCGGGGAAAGTTCCAATCATCTGGAGAGAGGTGGACAATTGCTTCCGTCAGCCACAGTTGCCTGGAGCATTACAGCAAACAGGAAGGAGGCAGAAAACTGAACCTGGTGCTGGCCTCCCTTGTGTGTCCTGTGCGTCATCCCGTGGCAAGGCAGATGGGTGCAGGGACCTGCAGCTTGATAAATGGAAGAAAGCAGCCTGTAGCCGAAGCGCTTCCTCCCTCTTGTCCCAAAATCTCTCTCCAGTGCCACCTCTGCTGCCACAGCCTCTCCGAGCTGACACGACCATCCCAAACATACCGGGACCCCTCACTGCCTTGAACAACAGTCACTGCTACTGGGAGTGTCCACTAGGCCGCCACCCAGGGCTTCGTGTCCAGAGGGCCCACCCAGCACAGGGCCTTCCACCCGGTGGGCTCTGCACCAGGGCGTGACTGCATTGAATATAATTGTGGTAAATGGAAGCATACCTTCCAGAGAGGGGAGCAGAGGTCTCGGGGTGCAGACCAAGTACTCTGTTAATGTGGGTTCCAAGCAGAGCAAGGTGGCTATAGGGAGGCCTGGGGGCTGAGGTACAAGTGCCTCACTGGTCACTCAGGCAGGCCAGCCCACCTACCGTAAGGGCTTCTTGTTTTTCTGTCACTTCAGCCCCCGTCCTTATGGTCCCATTCGCCTATCACTCCCATGCCTGCCCCTTGTGGGCATACAGCTCATGGCTGATCCTAGACTGCAGGTGGAGGGGTCCCTACCTAAGGTGGGAGGCTCCATGTGGGAGGGAGTCTCTTGAGGGCGGTGCTGTTGTGTTTACCTGGGCAGGCGGAGATCCAGACAGGAGAGGGTCGGGGTGGCTTCCTAAGGGAAGGGGAAGGTGGTCTGTGCCTGCCCCCCTCGGCTTCCCTGGCAGCACTGCCCAGCGCGTGGAGCCCTGTGTGTTGTCTTAGAACACCTTTGCTTCTGCTTGCAGCACGGGGGCCGCGGTGGAGTAAGCCAGAGGTGCTTCTGTGAGAAGCTGCCGCTTCAGGGGACTGAGCTGGTTCCGTAGCTGTGCAGTGTAGCTTCGATAACACAGTCTGTTCCTGTCGTGGCACAAATTACATCCGGTGTGGAGTTCTGCCAAGCTTGGGCTTTCTGCTCCTATATATATAATTTTTTTTTTTTGCTCCGAATGCCTTCAAGGCATGACTGGCTGTCTTGTGTTGCGGGGATCGATCCACAGCAACCTGAGCCTGACTGCTTTGTTGAAGCAGCCACTTAAAGAACTGAGCTAAGGGGCGGGCCCCCTCAAGCTTGGGCTTTCGAGTTATCTGCAAGGCTACCCCAGGAAGACTGCAGAGTTAGCCCGTGTCCCCCAAGGGTCAAGCCTGAGATTCCTTTAGTGAGTTGTATTTCCTGGTGACGTCTTTGCCGTCGGGTTGTGATCTCTGATCTTAGTGGAGAAGCTGCCCCGGTGAGCGTGTGATCCTGGAGAGCTCATGTCCCTCCTGTTTTCCCTCTCTTTTGGTTGTAAAGATTACCTCAAGCTTCTGTTAAAAAACAGGGTTTTAATAAGATAAACACGGAAGTGTAATACAAACATAACGTTTTCTCATAGCCAAGATTTTGTTTAACTGATTAAGGGTTAGATGTTACAACAGTTCTTAAGAACTTTTAATTCAAAAGAGAATTTTTAAAATTTCATAGAAAATCAGTAATGTAGGCAGTCAGTCATGGCATCTTTGATTAGGACATGATTCACCTTTGTTTCTCTGGATAAGAACTTTCTGGAGCTCTGAATGTGGTTCAGCGGTTTAGCCTTCGCCTAGCATGTGTAAAGCTCTGGGTTCGATCCAAAGCACTGCCCCAAAAATTATCCGTGTGGCAGTGCACGCTTGGGGGGGGCAGAGGCAGTAGAATCCCAAGTTCCAGGCCAGCCTGGACAGCTTAGTGAGGGCCTGTCCTGAAGTTAAAGGGCTGGGGACGTGGCTCAGTTGGTAGAGTGTTTGTGTGTGAGGCCCTGGCTTCCCCTTGTGTCCTGCCGAGGCTGGGGAGACCTCTTTTGTATTACTGTCAGTCTCCAGTAACTCATAGGATGAGAAAACAACTCTAAGACAAGGTCAGAGATAACCTGGAAAGGCCCCTAGACAGGACATTTTACCTTTTTTTTTTTGCAAGATCAGTCTTCTGTAATTTTTCCTGACACATAAAACTCCTCTTTTATAAGTAAGTAAATGAATAAACCCTCCCGGTTGCCACCAGGCTGTTGAGTGGGGGGCTGTGGGCTTTCTTGAACCTTGAATTCCGGGCAGCAGGAGGGCAGGATTCGTGACCCTCCTGGAGGAGGAGGAGGAGGAGGAGGGGTATAAACAATACCAGGGACCTTCCCTCTGGGGTTCTCCCTGGCTCCTGTTTTTCCGGTTTATGGGGCCACTGTGTGAGATGTAAGAAGGCAGGGAAGATACGGCCGCTGCTGTGTGCACTTCGCTCCTCTCCCTTCTGCCTTTTAGCAAAGTGAGGAAAGAAACATGGCTCGCAGCTCCAGAAAGGTGCCTCTCAGCTCCCTGATGTGGACTTCCCAGGACCCTAGTTCTTGTAACTCATTGTAGCAACAGGCTTAGCCAAATGTTCCCGCCAGAATATCTCTACCACAGCTCGGACCCATCTCCTACTTCCAGATTGTTACAAACCTCAATGTCTGAGCTGAAGGAACTGATTGCAAATTTAAATATAAAGCTGAAGACTGGGTGGGCGTGGTGGTGCATGCCTGTAATCCTAGAGCTTGGGAGGCTGAAAACAGTAGGATCACTGTGTCTGATTTGGGTAGTGAGAACCTGTAGACCCTGTACTGAATACATAAAAAATAAATAGTTGGACCCTTCTGGATCCTGGGTTTTTCTGTGCCCAGCCAACAAATTCAGGATATTTGGGAAAGGACCAAACCACTATGTCATCCCAGCTGCTAGGGTTTGCTCACTCTTACTTCTGGTATCTTGCAGTTGCTCAGTGTCTCAGTCCCCAAGGGTGCCGTCTGCCTGTCTGCCTGCCCATCAGCCCTTGTTGCAAAGGGGAGGGAGAAGGATGAGGAGCTCAGGCTGGTTCCTTAGAGCAGGAGGCTCAAGCAGAAAAAGTTTGCAGTAGTTTTTGTTTTTCTACCCCTCCCCCCATCATGGCCACACCCAGCTTGGCCATCTACTCTTACAGACCTTTCCAAAATACAGCAATAAGAAAGAATGTCCTGGCGCCGGGTCTGGCCCGTCCAGCAGGCCACCATGTCGAAGGTGTCCTTCAAGATCATGCTGACGTCGGACCCGCGGCTGCCGTACAAAGTACTGAGTGTTCCTGAAAGTACACCTTTCACAGCAGTCTTAAAGTTTGCTGCAGAAGAATTTAAAGTGCCCTGCAGCAACAAGTGCAATTATTACCAATGATGGAATAGGAATAAATCCTGCACAGACTGCTGGAAATGTTTTTCT